GTTTCTTAAAACACTAGTTCGTACACAGCTTCAGCTCTTTTTGTCCAGGCTCAAGGATCGGTCGACACTGCTAGTTGGCAAAGTCCTACTATAATTCTTTCCACTGAACTCCTTATATTTTTCCTTCTTAAAAAGTTTCAAAATGATAAATAATGAACGGTTAAAAAGCTCATTTGACACCGGGCTAAATCAAGCCGACCAAAGAGTTGCAACAGAGAGACCTAACAGAGTCAAACGCCCCCCATGCTGCTGAGTGTTTGTCCAACTGTTCTCGGGTCTAGTGTCAACCCCCCCCCCCCCCCCCCCCCCCCCACGGCCAGTCAGTCAACAGAGGAACAAAAGAAACGAATGAATCTTAGTTGGGGGGGGGGAGGGGGGGAGAACATATGCAGGGACAAGGTGACATTTAGATTACTCCCCCCCCCCCCCAGCTACTGTAATCAGTTATTGGTTGGGCGTGTGCTAAAGATGAATAAATTATTTCGATCATTTATTCTTCTAGCCTATTACTTGTGAGCTCAATACATGATTTTATGTTCAAATAGTTGCACTGATGGATTTATGCACTTGTTTTATGGACTACACTATATACATAGACATACATTAATATCGTGGTAACGCGCTCAATAGTTTGTCACGCGGGAGCTCTGTGTAGTAATGAAAGGTAGGTGGTTTGAACACATGAAGGGACCACTACATCTTGGTCTATTCTATTCTTCTCTCAGGAGAACACGTACACACGTTGAACAAAAGGTCGCCAGGAAAAAAAAAGTTGGATGAACAATGGGAGAGTGATTGTTTATCCTTAATTTTATTCAGTTTATGTAACACATAGCTCTCTTTCCCTTCTCTTTCTCTCTCTCTCATTTAAATGTATGGTTAGAAAAAATATATACCTGAATGGACAGACAGACGTTGCTATTGAGCAAAATGAATTTGAGTAAAGGAGAGACCATTGAAAGCTTTACTTTTTACAAAACCAATATAATTATTTAAAAAAACGTGTGTGGGGGGGGGGGGCTTTATATCGTCCCTCTTCCACATCACGGACAAGACTCTGGTGTTTTCGTCTCGTCACTCTTGCGTATGGTAACAATCATCGCATAACCAGACTGTCACCTTCACCTACCTGTTGGACCGTTGGGGCACCATACATGATCTGTCGAACGTCTTTCTCGTTCCTCTCTTGTCTTTCGCCTTGATTACTGCAGGAAGGTATTTGCGAACATTGAGTGAGGAGCTCGTGATATGGCCAGACAGTTTGCGTTTCCTGACGAGTTCACAACAGACCTAGGTAGCAATCTCCACACTACCATCAGCCGGTGTAAACAATCAATCAAATTTGTTATGAGACTTCATATTGCTAGTTTTTTTTTCTTCCTGCTGTATACTATTTCGTATTATGTGCCGAAGAAAATTAGCCCACTATTGTTTTTTTTTTCAGCTGTTTCATTCTGGCACACAATGTTGGTTATGTTGTGGGAATATGAGCTGTCTGTTCTAAGAGATCCAATGAACAATCTGGCAAAATGTTAACGTTCTCATGTCCCTTCATTAAGTCCGAAATCTGTGCTTTGTAATACTGATACCTATAATTCCCTCTGTTGTATAACCCAGATCTAGTTTTAAACCGATATTGTGAATATTTAATGTCGCGTTTCACTCAGCAACTTTCTCGGTGAACATTCACTATATTCCCCGCCCCCCCCCCCCACTTGCACGGAACATCTATTCATGTTTCAATGACCAATGATCCTTTACCTCCGCCGTAAGCTTGTTGTAAGCCCTCCTGGTTTCATCGTTTTTTCGACGACTGTGCTGCCTACGTGCAGCCCGCCTCAGTCGGATTAGGCGTGCCAAAGCGGGAGACCAAAAGTGCCTAAATTTGCGCCCCCGTAGGACCTCGGGATAGCTTTCCGAGCGGCACCTAAGATGGCTTCGACAAAGAGTCCGTAAGTCCGGTTAATGCAATCTGCTTGGATATCCAATTCGTTCAGAGCTACATCCGATGCACTCCTGAACAGATCCCAGTTAGCACGATTATACACCCATTTTGGTTCTGTGTATGGGGTACTCACGTTGAACTTTTCGAGTTCGATTGTGACCAAGACCGGCAGATGATCGCTACCGACGTCGTTGAGCACGTCCACTCTCGACTGTGACCTTAAGTCAGTTGACACCAGTGACAAATCTGGTCACGACATGCCCCCATTCCCGGTGTGCAGAAAGGTCGATAGATGTGTTCCGTGTGGGCTCTCCAGCGTGAATGAGATCGGACGATGAAGTTTTGTCCATATACACGTGGAGATGGGGGGAGGGGGTGAGTGACGGTAGATAAGTGCAAAGGTGGTCCAGACTATCAGATTTGACAAAGAGGTCCCCGCTTGACCGTGTAGAGTTTCCTGGAGATAGACATTGCGTGAAGGCGCGAGTTGAAAGCCCAGGAAATTCGCACAGGTGGTCAGAGAACTAAAGAGGGGGATGATCGGAGGTGCCCAGGGCAAGGTAGATTACACCTTGATACTGGCTTTGCGCTAGACGATCGTGGAGACCGCCGCCCGAGGTGTCAAGTTGAATGGGCTCTTTGAAGTGACCAGCCGCTCCACAAAAAAAAAAGGGGGCGGGGGTCAACGGATGTTTGCCAAGATAGGAAAAGGGGAGCGTACTCTTGTCAAGAGTCTAGTGTGGCACGTGTCAAGATGGGGATAGCAAAATGTGACATCGATGCCAAAAGTGGTGGGGTTGGATTGGAGGGGTGGCGGCTGTGTTTTTAGCGTTTGATTGGCTAAATTAGTAAAATTGATGATTACTAGCGTGTAAATAAATTAATTAAATGCTTAGACCTGAGTGATACCTTGAGTGAGCTAAAACGGTTTGTCACATAGAGAACCGCTCATATAATCAGTTGTAACATAAACAGCAGTATTGTAATCATTGTTAATAAATGTAAAAAATATTTTTTAAAATATTTTTTTTATTGACTAAGTGTGCATGTGTGTGTGTGAAACGTTTCAAACAATAAAAGAAAGACCCAGTAATAATTTTATCAGACACTTTCTGACACGATAAAAAGCAAGCAAAAAAAAAAGAAAGTTTTTGAAATCTCAGTCATCATATATCTAATCGATATTTACACCACCAATAACTTACTGGGAAGCATAACGGATTTAAAAACGCAAGGGTTGTAAACAAGCAATATGCGCAACTTTTTGGGACAAGTCTGAACAATATTCGCTGCATAATCTTGTGTATCCAATATATAATATTGATTACCATTAGCATGTTTTCCAAAGCATATATAAAAAAAACAACTGTTTTTTACATGCGACATATACAATAACCTGTAACACACCTAATGTTTAGTGAAAGTGAAACATGGAAAGGGTTACAAAGGGTTATACACATTCAAAACATCAAAACCTACAAATTTACGTGTGAATTGAAAGTCAATATTATGAGACATCTCGGAAAAGGTTTTAAAAGCCTCTAGGCGTCAGTTTTATATCAACATTGTAATGCACAGAAACAATAACTGAGAACACAACCGACTTTTGACAACGGATCCAAGTAAGTAAATTTCGTGATATACTTAGTTTCTGCCATTATATTTGTATCTAAATACTTTCCCTTTTTATATATTTCAGATGTCGATGATTACTAAAATGAACGGCCATGCTAATGGTATGAACGGGATCAAATCAGATGACTATCATGTAACCATGACAGCCAACGGAAAAGGTCAATTAGCAAAAGCAGCCAACGGCAATCACCTTTTAGCAAAGACAGCAAACGGCAATCATTCAGCAAAGACAGCCAATGGTAATCACAACGCGCCCAAAAACGACCTTCGTAAAATCCTCAAGATACCAGACGATCCGTTCAAGTGGTTCAACAGTTTCATTACTCTTAAAACCAAAATTGAAAATGATGAAGACTATTGTATGTACACAGGCGAGCCCCATACTGGAAGGCGGCAAGAGATTCTAGACAAACATCCAGAAATAAAAAGCCTGATGGGACCCGACATTTGGATTGTCGTCCCTACTTCTATTTGTGTAATCTCGCAGTTTATACTCTGCTGGCTTCTAAAAGACGCGTCTTGGCCTTTTCTGATGTTCATGGCTTATTGTATTGGGGGAGTGTTCAATCATTCATTAGGATCTGCTATTCATGAAATTGGGCACAATCTAGCTTTCGGGCATGGGAGATTGGCCTGGATGAACCGTGTACTCAGCCTGTGGTGCAACTTACCTATTGGTGTCCCGATGGCCATCACGTACAAAAAGTACCACGCTGACCACCACCGATACCTTGGCGAGGAGTACCAAGATGTGGATATTCCCACTCGGCTGGAATCTTGGCTCTTCAAGCACCCGGTCACAAAGATGATCTGGCTCATTTTTCACCCTATCCTCCACTCCATCCGCCCTTTTTACAAGAGCCCCAAGCCCCTGACCGGGTGGGAGACGATCAACACCATCGTCCAGTTCGCCTACGATATCCTAATCTTTCAGCTGTTCGGAATTAAGCCTGTGGTGTACATGGTGGCCGGAACCTTAATGGCCCTTGGCCTCCATCCATTGGCTGGCCACTTCATTTCAGAGCATTACCTCTTCACGGCAGGCCAGGCCACACACTCTTACTACGGCCCGCTGAACTTCATCCTGTACAACGTCGGCTACCACAACGAGCACCATGACTTCCCCTACATCGCCTACACCAGATTGCCGGAGTTGAAGAGGATAGCTCCGGAATACTACGATAACTTGCCGTACCACAGTTCCTGGATTAAAGTCGTTTGGGATTTTATTTTTGACGATAACATGGGACCTCACGCTCATGGTGTTGGATTCGTTAAGAAGGAAATGTTATAACAACTGAAATCATGTCCATAATATATATAGACTGGTGAATACTGAAGCTGTTAGCAAGTCAGGGAGTGGATAAAAAAAACCAGGTCTTATATATATATATATATATATATATATATATATATATATATATATATATCAATACATTTGAAGAAAAACACAGTTCGGAATTATCATTGAATATCTGCTTAAAATATTTATCTTCGTAGGAAGTCTGAATTGGATACAATTGTACATGAATGAAAAGAACAATTTGGTAAAGTCCTCGTTTACAGTCATGTTTATGCTTTACACTTTTTATTTTTATTTGTTTGCTTGAAGTAACCAAAACAAAGAAGATCAGATCCATCCATTATTTTATTTTTCGGTGTGCTGTTTATTTTGTCTACAAGATACGTTCACGCTGTTTGCATTTTCTCTAGCATCAGTACGGGCGTCTCGTTACAAATCTATATTTGATTTTCTATTAAAATGCCTATCTATAAAAGATTATTTTAGTCTACATTTTCCGTGAAAATATACAACACTTTGTTTATAATAAAGTTCACTTCGAAAATTGAGTCACATATCTACGATATACACCATCATATTCCTTAAACTCTTGTAATCTGTGAAAACATTCCAGAACATTCCTGTCCTTACTTATTTACTTTGGTATTGAGTAAAAACAATGTTGCAAATTTACCCAACAGTTACTACGCACAATACATTTTGTCAAAGTGTACACTTGACAGTTAACGAATGAGATTCTGCTCACCTTTGACACTGAACACAAAGTTTCACACTCTACAAATTGATTTACAGTTTGATGTCTTCATTAAATGAGCAGCCAATGTGGTCATAAAGTGAGCGGGGCTGTTTTTGTATACATATGCTTGGGGTAAACTAAAAGCAGCTTAGTTCATGGCACAGGCCTATAGTATTTGGTAACTCTAATGATCTAGACTTATATACATTTAAATAAATTGCTTCATTTAAAGAAGTCATGTGATGGAAGTCAATTTCAGACTATAAGAGGTGATTGGGTTTTTTGTTTGTTTGCCTTCTCTGTCCGCAACCTTACATTGAATTAAAAAAAACTGAACTCCATTTAATCAATCCAGATTTTTAAAAAATGTATTTGCTTAGCAACATTTGTGTGTGTATGTGTGTAACTAAAAGTAAAAATGTAATGACGTCATAACCACAGACCTAGATATAATATATATAGGTCAGTGGTTATGACACTGTTGATCTACTTGTAAATGAAATAAATATTTGCAATAATTGATAAAATGCATAAAAACTTTAGCGGCTTTGTGAGAGGAACAAAAAATATTTATTATTTACTGACATTGCCTTTTTTTTTTAAAGCATATATTTATTTGATATTTTTTTTAATTATTATTATTGTATATTAACTATTGACGTTTATACACCAAAATAATTATATTACAAATATTTTTTTAAATAGTATTGCTCTTATACATCAATAGCATTTCAGGATTTCTTAAAAGAAGAAACTCTATGCATGGATAGTTGATCAGCTTGTACAATGTTGAAAATCAAGCTAGCGTCTTACATTTCACAGAAAACAAATGCTCGGGGTGTTCTGAAACATAACTTTAAACGTTGTATTTAACATTTTAATTGCTGTATTAGAGTCTTATTTTGGAAATTAAAAAAAACCTATTTTCCCTGCGACAAAAACAACAACAACAAACAAACAATAATCTTTCTAATAATAATTAGGATAAAATAAAATGTATTTTATAACTTAATGCTGTAATTCTTAACCTTATATTGCCATTTATTAGCATTGTAGACTTGACTAGGGTACTGAGGGAGAAACACATCTTAAGATATATCGACATTGCCACCAAAGAATTCGAAATTACTGTTTTATTTATTATACAAATACTATAGCTATTACTGAGTGTAAGACACAATTTTAAAATCTTTCACCTTCCCACCAAAGAATGTGAACTAAATAATAGATATATTCTTTAAATATAGAGATATACTTTTATGTTTTCTTGTTTTAATTTTTGTTCTTTTTTTTTAGGTAGTGCTTTGGCTCTTTAATTCAATTTAAATTGTTATATTTAGATTTTTTGTTAAATAACTTTATGCTGGTATTATTTATTATTTATAAATACTTACTAAGCATTTACTGTTCAACTAAATTATATAAATAAATCTATGAATTAAAAAAAAAAAGACTCTATATGTTGTATTTTTCTAAGTATGGTAATTGTGTTTTTTTTCCTTTTTTACACATTTGAGTCAAAATACTAAAACTGCAAATATATTCACAATTGCCATAATTTAGTCATGCATTCAGGGAACGATAATCCGACAAATCTATTTTGGCCTAGATTTAAGTAAATAAAAAGAAAACTATTTTAGATTTATCCCCCCCCCCCACATGTATATTATTTGAAAGAAAGAGTGAAAAATATTGCTATTTTAAAATATGTAATTGTTGTTTTGAAAAATATCATTATAAAGTAAAACATACATAAGGATTTGATTTAACAACGTAGTCTTAAAAAACAGGATAACTTACTATTAAAAAAAACAGACTTTGTTTACATAAATAAAAATATAATTTTAAAAATATTCTTTTCGCAAAGTCTAGTCCTCCTTTTTGAAGCTAATGGTAGTCTATATTTTCTCATTCCATTTATTTCTGTTTTTTTTTTCAACACTGCACGGGGTCTTTCTACTGAGCTTGCACAATCCATTTCTTCTGTTGCAGTCCAGCTTATTTTTACACAGGACATTGCGCAAAAATGGACACGAAAGTCATTTATTTATTCAACTTTTTACTGAATACAAAGAAACTTTTGAGTCGAGTGCGGGAATACCTGCTGAAAGTATATTCGAAATACAAACATACATTTGAGTCGAGTTAGAGAATACCCGTTGAAAGCATGTTCAAAATATAAAGACACACTTGAGTCGAGTGCGGGAATACCCGCTAAAAGTATGTTCAAAATATAAACATTTTGAGTGCGGGAATACCCACAAAGAGAATGCTCATAATAGTCTAATTTAATTTTAAGATGATTGTATTTTAAAAATTATACCGTATTAGTATTTTTTCTCCCAAAGGTATACATTAACTGTCAAATTTTTGAGGGAGATCAATAGAGCCATTTTCGAAATGTTGAAGTGTCCAGGTCCAACCCTCTGTTTAACTTTTTCAACCCATGATATACTTGCTAATAAGAGATTTAAAAAAAAATATTTGTACATTATATTGCTACCGAAACATTTTTTAACTCATTGAAACAATAATAGCATATGCATCCTCTGTTTGGGACCCCTCGACTCAAGAAAACATTAAGAAACTGGAACAGACACAAAATAGAGGAGTGAGATTCATAACAAACGAATATTCACATTTGACTAGAGTAACACCTTTAATAAAATCACTAAATTTAGAAAGCCTTCAGGATAGAAGACTTAAAAGTAAAGTAGCAATTATACATAAAACACTGAACCCAAAATCTTCAAATACAAAAACAAAATTTAATAAAATACTCAGAAAGACACAAAGATAAAGGCACATTCCTCGTTCCATATGCTAGAACAATTTTGTACAAATGCTCCTTCTTCCCTAGCGCTCTTTTAGAGCATGGAATGGGTAGTCTGAGCTAACCAGGAAAACCAGTGACTTAACAGAATTTAAGTCATTGGTTAATATGCATGACTAAATGCATGACACGTAGGACGTAATCATCTTCTTTTTTGAAGTAACGTCTGTATTTTAAGAAGATAACAAATGCAATCAAATGTATTTCAAGTTTCCAGTAGTACTCTTAGAGATAAGTTTAGGAACTTGAACTATACTGACAGAATTAATGATTCACTCTGAATATCGGGTTTGAATAGAGATAAAGTTGGTCACTCATAAAATCAAAGCTTACACACACACACACATGCTGGCATGTAAACATACACCTAATAACATACTTGACGTCTCTAAGTATCTCTCTTGAGTAGGACTGGAAGTAAGATAAGCCAGTACAAGAGATTAGCACTGCATGAATCTCTTAATGGTTGCTTAAATCAACAAGTCATACAGAAGGTCACTTGACACCGGCTCTCTGTTTCTGGAATAACAGGAAGCACTCGGAACACCTTGGTGTCCCCTTCTAGGCCTGAGAGGGGGGATTATGTCCACTGCGAGGGTGTCGTTCTGTGTGTGTGTTTGTGTATGTCTGTCTGTTTTTGTGGTATAAGAGGAAACATAGATGTGTATTTGGTATACTCATATGCAGGACTTTTTTTTTTATGACGGTACGCACCGGTACGGCGTACCAGCACATTTTTGAAAAAAATTATTACTTTTCTTGTATTTTAATGTATACTAGTCGACCGGCGGCGTAGCATACGCCGCTATTTTGCAGGGCCGACCTTAGGCCACTGCTACCTATGCGACCGCAGTGGGCCCCGCAATTTTATAGGACCCGCGCTAATTTTAGGTGTATAAATTATTAAATTAAACCATTTTATTACTTATAACAGATTTTCCGCGGCCTCCTGTCGATTTAACATGAGGTCCTGGAAATCTCCTGAAATTGCAAAATATACGAAAAAGTCCTTGAAATATCCGGAAATTATTAAAATCTTTTGAAAGCTCATACTAATTTCCTGAAATATATAGACGAAAATTGTCATTTTGGGATGCCATTAAATATGGAAAACATATTATTAATTTTTAGTAGTTAAAAGTTAGGCATTCAACTACTGAGTACCGGCACCTATTTCTTTACAAACAAAAAAAAAAAAAAAAAAAGGAAATAAGTGAAAATGTTGTGTACATTTATATCTTGTATATACATAAGGTGAAGATATAGTTGTATAACATTATGTCGTGTTTATAAATGTGTCACAGTCAAGATTTATAAGTCCGTGTCGTTTGCATACATGTGTCGGGGAAAGAAATTATTTAATATTATTTCCACTAATTCAACTACCAAAGTACAGATTTTTTTTCAAGCTTGTATTAGCGGGCCCCGTAAGGGGAAAGGCTTCAAAGCCTATTAGCTCTGTGTGGTGTTTCCGCCTGTCACGCTCACGTCTCAAAAACTAGAAAAGCTTATGGAAAATATAATTCCACCATATTTTGCAGCTTGCAAAGTTTAGGTGCTAGACCGTGCTACTGTTACCCTTTCGCTATCTTAAAGCGTTTTGTTATTTGTATTTTGTTTTTTTTTCATAAATTTACACCAATTTAAAAATAAAAAGATAAAGTAGGTTTTTATTAAGCCATATGACAATTACATAATATAACATTTTATTCATACTATTTAGTCAGTTTTCACAACGCTGTTCGTTAATTTATACTTATCTTTAAACGAGATTTATTTCGTAGTGGTTCACTTGTAACATTTGAGAAACACTGCAATAATGTCATTCAAGAAAAACAAGTAGACATGGGTTGTGACTGCAGGGAGACGTGTCAGTTCTCAGGTAACCTGTTTTATTAACTTGTTTATTTCAATCAATAGAGAAGAATCGACGTGGGATACCTCGAAGATTGTCACAACTGATGTAAATACAATGACAGGGTGGGTGGGGAGTAGGTAGCCTAGTAAATCTAGTGTCTTGGTTTTTCCATATCAACATAAGCCAAGATAAAGAGGTTGACGTAACCTCATCATATCTCCATTGTGCTTATGATTAAAAAAAGAAAAGGATTTATTAGTACAAAAGACTCTTGTTCTTGAAAAGCTCTTAAAACTTTTGTTTACACATTAAGTGGACGTACGGTAACTGAAGTAACATCATCATTGAGCTTGATCTCTACCCTTTCAATGTATCTATCAGTCCGTCTCTCCATCCATCTGTACTTCCATTCGATCGCCCATCCGTCTGTTTATCTGTATTTCTCTGTCTGTCTGTCTCTTTCTCTGACTCTATCTCTCTCTCTCTCAATATATATATATATATATATATATATATATATATATATATATATATATTCCGTACGGAAGTGAAACATGGTCAACCTACTCATGGCAGGAAAAAAAGCTGAATGTTTTCCACCTCCGATGCTTAAGGCGGATCTTTAAAATAAGGTGGCAAGATAAGATAACCAATGAGGAAGTGCTACAAAGAGCAGGGTGCCAGGACATCCGCTCTGTTATCAGCAGCAGACGCCTTGGCTGGCTTGGCCACGTTCGTAGAATGCCAGAAGGTCGACTTCCACAGGACATCCTGTATGGCGATCTAATAGAAGGCAGGAGAGCCGCTGGTCGCCCACTTTTACGTTATACGGATGTATGCATGACATGAAGCTCTTCAAAATCGACACTGGCAGCTGGGAAGAGGTGGCACTGGACAGATCCTCATGGAGAGAGAGCATAAAGGAAGGGTCAAAGATTGCAGATGTCATACACAACAGAAGCAGGAAGAAGGGTGAAAATGCAACGGCGCCTGGTGATTATATATGCCCAACCTGCGATCGCAGCTGTGTATCAAGGATTGGCCTCTTTAGTCACACAAGAAGTTGCAAAGGGAAAAGATCGTCTCTCGAGACGTAAAATGCCACAGAGATATATTCCGTAAGGTTTGTTATTACTAGAAGTGGTAAAAGCTACTTAAAAGGCTTCCAATAACATGCGTCTGACAAGTAGTCTAACTCCTGGCTTTCACGTGTAGCTCAGATTTTAAGTCCGACGGAATTGTTTTCACTTACAGGAGAAGAGACAAAGTCGAGTAACTGGCGCCTAAACCAGTAAGCTTCGGTCAGGAAGGGCTTGTTAGCTTTTACTGGCTATACACTTATGCGAAGGAAAACTTAATTCAAAATTCTGCTGCCTTGAAGCTATACCCAAACATGGGAAAGGCTTCGGGAGTCAACCTTGAAGAAAAATCTGGATCTGGCGACCCTTACAAAGTTTGCAGCACAAAGTGGTACATTCTAGCAGAGCTTGCGACGCCGTGATCCCTGACTCTATTGACACCGTGATCCTAGACTGTATTGACGCCGTGATCCCAGACTGTATTGACGCCGTGATCTCAGACTGCACTGACGCCGTGATCCCAAACTGTATTGACGCCGTTCTTGCGTGGAGTGGAGGATAATGCTGTGTCGGCGATATAATGGCTTTTAGTTTCTAT